TTAAGGAGAAGGTGGGGGGGAGGGGTTAGGATTAGGGGTGGGGTGGGGATTAGGCAATCAGGTAGCGACTTCAACGAGGGGGTGCATAATCTGGCAGGGGTGTGTTGTGCTGAATTCTGCACCCCTGCCAGATTATGCACCCCCTCGTTGAAGTCGCTACCGATAATGTATCATGTATAATGTATTCAAAAATATTTAAAATAATCTCATAATATTATTTAATGCAGTTGTATTTTTCAGTGTAAACTATTTAATTTGATAACGTATACATTATTATAATTTAATTTATAGATCAAATGTAGGAATTTGAAATGAAAGTATTAATGAGATTAGTGGGAAAATGCCCTCTATAAAGGTAAAAATGCCCTTGGATAAAATATAAAAAACATGCAGATTTATGTCACAGCTGATAGAAAACTGATAAGAATATTGCTTCAGAATAAATCATATTTTATTTATTTTTTATTATATATATATATATATATATACAGTGGGGGAAAAAAGTATTTAGTCAGCCACCAATTGTGCAAGTTCTCCCACTTAAAAAGATGAGAGAGAATACACGAGTTTCACAATTTGAGTTGAATTACTGAAATACATGAACTTTTCCATGACATTCTAATTTATTGAGATGCACCTGTATATATGTGTGTGTGTGTGTGTAAGCTCGATACCATAGAGCCCCCCCCACACACACCTAACAAATCCCAATTTAACCCCTGCAAATAGTAATGTACAGAAGCAAACATGGGAAATCTATTGATGCGTTAAAGGGGTCATATGATGCGATTTCAATTTTTCCTTTCTCTTTGGAGTGTTACAAGCTCTTGGTGCATAAAGAAGATCTGTAAAGTTGCAAAGACTAAAGTCTCAAATCCAAAGAGATATTCTTTATAAAAGTTAAGACTCGTCCACACCCTCCTAAAACGGCTCGTTCTAACACGCCCCCACATGTCTACGTCACGATGTGGGAAGATCTGCATAACACCGCCCAAATGTTCACGCAAAGAAAGAAGGCGTAACGTTTATTCTCGCTGTAGTATTGTTGTTTCCGCCGCCTCCATGTCGTGAAGGTGCTGTGTTTCGTTGGGAAAGCGAAACTACTTTGGCCTTCCAAAAGAGGACGATATCCGCTTCGTCATGCCTAGAGCTGATCCGTGCTGGTCGCTGAGGAAATACATAAACTTCGCACTGTGGTTCGCAGGATCGGCTTTCACCGTGGACGAATCCGGAGTCCAGCCCAGGGTCGTCACATGGTTGCCGCAAGCCCACTGGACGCTCCTTCGTCGAATCCGCCGGCCACACCGTTCTCAAGCCCACCCGCCTTTGCTCACTCAAGCCGGCCTCCGCATACTCTAGTCCGCCGGTCATTCTAGGCCTCCGGCCTCCGCTCACTCAAGGCCGCGGTGTGTGACGCTGTTTCGTTGTGAAAGTGAAACTACTTTGTTTGACCTTCCAAAAGAGGACACGACTAGAGATCAGTGGTTAAGTAAAAATCTGCGTGTTTCAGAAAGGCGGGGCATAGAGGAGAAACAATAATGTACAGTATATGGAAAATAATGTTTTTTTAACTTTAAACTGCATAAACACATTTAATTACACCAAATACACAAAATAATGTTCTTTTTAGCAGCATCATATGACCCCTTTAAATTTTATATTAGACCTTTTTGAACTCAGCTGTTGCATATAGACATTTTATGTTTTTGCTTCACTGAGCTGAAGGGTTTACTCTGTGTGTTCTCAGAGGACGTTGCAGTTCAGCATTCGGTGAGGAAAAAGGCATAGCTGAAAACACAAGAAAGGCATTGACAAATATTGATGTCTCCCTCCCCAGTGTTCGGATTGTTGGGGCATGAATGCATTGCTCTGCTAAACATAGAGATCAAATGACAGGAGGAAAACATTATTTTGTTGTTGTTACTTAACTTGCCAGCACATTTTAATATCCTGTAAACACTCAGTCAAACATTAAATGTTAAACAAGTATTCAATCAGTAGTAAATGCTCCCAGGATATTTCATGAATGATTTACATGATACTAAGCCATTTAGTTTGAAACAGATGAAAGGTGCGGATCACAATCATATAAAATCAAATATTTCTTAAATAAACACACACTTCTTATAGGCTAGATAATTGTTTTTAGGTCAGCTAAGATAATAATATTTTTGGAAAATCCTAACATAACCACCTACACACACTGATTTACTCAGGCGTTTCACATGAATATTCTTAAACTGTTCAAATACCAAACAGAAAGCGGGCACTCTATTTTTAGCATGGCTTAGCTCAGTGTTTCTTCCGTGAAACAGAAGTCCAACTTCTCTGGCATCTCAAGAGATCTCATTAAGAGCAAAAACCTCTTTGCATTTTATTCTCTTTTCATTTTTATTCATATTTTAATGTGGCAGAGGGATGAACTCCATCCATCATTAAATCAAACGGAAGCTGCTGATGTAAGATTTAATGTCTCAATTCATGCAGGAGGCACCGTCAACAGTATAATCTGTATCTTGTGGATGTTAAAGTCTATTAAGAAGAAGGAAATGTGGAAACATGCAGTGGCATTGTAGATTGTGTGGGATGTTTTTTTTCCAGTAGTGTGGGCGACGGTATAGTAAAACAGGGAAAGAGGCAGCGTTGCTCCATTATGGATCTCTGATTTTGTTGATCTGGTTTTAGAGAAACATTATGAAGGATATTTAACAGCAGTGTATAAACACAATAGCTACCAGGTTTCCTGCAATGTCCCATATACACTGCTCTCCCCACAGGCATACGCTCCTATGGGGCGTAGATCAGCGGATGGAGGGCTGGCGATATCTGCGTCACAATAAGAGGTGCTGAATGCAGCCTAAGCTCATTTGCAGTCTGTGTGCAAATCTATAATAATCACTATCCACCCCTTTTAATATGAATAATTTGATGAATCACAACAAATGAGGTCAATTCACAGCAGCTCTCTTGATTTAAATAAAAATGCTTCAGAAATGCATTTTAATACCCATGTTTTTGTAATCCTTTTGTATTGTTCACCATGATATTAGATACACTACAAAATGGGGTGAAGATTTGCAGTGGGATTTGGGGATGGGACCCCCCAAAAGCTGTGCAGAACTGATCTGAAATTTCAGTCTCAGTGTTCTGTCACCTCTAGTGTTCTGCTGTGATGTGCTGATCCAGTGTGTGTCCTATTACTTATCTCAGGGGAAAAGAGAGAGGGTCTGATAATACAGCTCTCATCCTGCTGTATCTACTAAAGGCACTGATCTGTTCTGTTTTGATCCCACCTCCCGCTGGCACTTGTATGCATAATGATTGCTCTTTTTTTGGACCTGATGTTTTGGTAACGAGCAGCAGCTATCATTTACAAGCTTAACTGATTTAAATGAGAGTGTTAAACAGTTTTTGTTTATGTTAACGGCTTCGTTGACGATAATTAACAGAGCTGTTTTATTGTTCTTTATTCCCTCTGCAGTTAAAATGCTGCCTGGTACCAGGCCCCTGCTGCTGTGTGTGCTGTGTCATGTGACCACCGCATGGGCATTCACCCGCATGTCTGACGCCGTGGAGCTGCGGTCTGCATTCTCTGTGGCACGTACCAGCAGCATGGAGGGAGGGCCCAAGATGGTCATCACCTTCGACAAGGTGTATGTCAACATCGGTGGCGATTTCGATCCGAAGGCTGGCTTATTCCGCTGCAGGATTCCGGGTGCGTACTATTTCTCCTTCACGGTGGGGAAGTTCCCACGTCGAGACCTGTCGGTCATGCTAATGAAGAACCGCAATGAGGTTCAGGCGATTGTCTACGACGAGAACGCCGGAGAAGAGCGGAAGGTGCAGAGCCAGAGTGCCATGCTGCAGCTTGATTTTGGAGACACCGTCTGGCTTCGTCTTCACGGAGACCCTCGCTACGCTATCTACAGCAACACGGGCCATTACACCACCTTTAACGGTTACCTGATCTACCCCGATGTGTACGGCTATCAAGAGCCCACACACAGAGATCATGACAGTGACCATCAACCACTGAAAACCAGCGATCACTTACTAACTGAGCATGAAAATACAATTATCAAAGACACTATTGTGAGTGTGAAAGAAGAGAGACGGGATGAAGAGATAAAAAAGGAGGATGGGAGAGATGGACAGGAGGAAGATGAAGACCAGCGGTCAGCATTCTCAGTGGGCCGCACTCAGAGTATTGTGGGAGTGGATCAAGGACACCCTGAGCACCAGCCCATCGTCTTTGACACAGAGTTTGTCAACATCGGCAACGACTTCAACTTGAGCTCTGGTATATTCAGATGCAGAGTAGCAGGAGCCTATTACTTCTCCTTCAATGCTGGCAAGCTGCCCCATAAGACCCTGTCAGTGAAGCTGATGAAGAACCATTTGGAAGTGCAGACCATGATCTACGATGACAGCGACACTGAGAAGGCCCTGCAGAGCCAGAGTCTGATGTTGTCACTGCAGGCTGGAGATACTGTCTGGCTCTACAGCCACCAGAGGGATGGATTTGGTGCTTACAGTAATCACGCCAAGTATATCACTTTCACTGGCTTCCTGGTGTACCCCGAGCTCCACCAAAGCCTTGCTCAGCAGCAGAAACCAGATAAGACACTGTAGGCCAGCCAAGGAGCCAGTCAGTCTGGGTCTTTAGGAAGGTAAGAGTTTGGAGCAGCGCTTGTGTGGAAAAAATGTGAGTTCCCTTCACGCAATCTTCTACACTCTAGAGACTCTGTGTCACTCATCACTCTTGTGGTTTGCTTCTTCAGATTCCATATTAGAAATCCCTTCAGCTCTTGTTTTTAGTCAAGCAAGCAGCACCTGTAACAATTCAGTTAAACTCCCTAAAGTCGCCATGAAACGGAAATTGCGATTATCTTTTCTTCCCTATCGTGACAAGTTCTCGAATGAGAAAAAAAAATGTAGGGCAGCACTTGATTTTGTCCATCGGGAATTAATTGGATCGTTGTTGTTTGCTAATTGAGCGATCTCATGTGAGTGACAGATTGCTGGATTATTGCCCAGCCGGAGCATAAGGAGGGATGTTATTGGGAGGGGACATTAATATTAGTTTTTTTTTTTGTAATCATTATGTGCATGGCTAATTCAATCATAATAAATACTTCAACATTCCATAAAAAATAAGAATGGTCTGTTTTGATTTTATGGTGACTTTAAGCTCTTGGATGCTGAGTTCTCACAATAATATAATGATAAAATGCAAACAGGTCACTTTCAAATATAAATCATTTGTAAAATTAAAAAATTTAAAACATTATTTTTCAAAAATGTAATTAAAAAGGTTAATAAAAGTCGATATAAAACAAAATATACAGCTTGCCTGAACGATCTGAAGTTCTTAGCGCTAAAGCACTTATCTCCGCAGAGGCAGTTCATTAGACAGCTCCAACTCAAAACTGTGTTTCAATACAATTATTAAATGCATGCATGTTTCAAATAAGAAATTTTGTTGTCTTTGAAGCTTTTGCACGAAAGATTTGCGTGAGAGTACTGTCTTCTGCTTTTCTATCTATTTCCAGTGTTCAATCTGTTTATGGCACAAAAACAAAAAAAAACCCTGAGGATTCCAGTAAATCATGTAGTCATTCATGTAGTCAGTCAATAATCACTCTGGTTTTGGAACAGCACTACACATTTAAACTGAGGACCGCTTTTGTACATTTATTATGTTTGGCCAGAAACTTTACCAAATGTAGCGCAGGCTGACAGCTTCTAAAGGAACAATGATTTTATTCACTGCCAAATGCATGTACCTCAACTGATTCTAATGATTTTGGGAAAATAGTTCAACAAATATTGATGTTTATATTTTGGAACGAAAATCTATCAAAGATATCGATCAGTTTATATAATTAATTTGGTGTATGCTGTTGTGTGTATATGGCCATAAAGATGAAGCATTATGTAATATGAAGTGCACAATTCCAAAATGTAAATACTTCTGTGTTTTTTATCCATTTCTATATAAGTAAACGTTTGCATTTCTAATTCTGTGCCTGGTCTTATGTACTTTTCTGTATGGGTTTAATCCGATAAATAAACTTTGTGAACGAGTGCTGGATAAGCTTTTCAATGTTTGTGCAGTATGAGCTACTTTGTTAAGTACCGTAAAAGTGGTTTCAGTGTACGCTGGATTGTTATTGTGGAAGAAGCCAGTCCTCAGAAGCAAGCCAAATAAAAACTCTGAATGTAAACTCTTTCTTTTGTCTTGTATTTCTCATTAGTGTAAAATACATCTACAGTCCTGTCACTCCTACCAATTACATTTTAACCTGTGGAAGGATTTTTCTCTGATGAATGAATGAAGTAAATATTTAAAAATCCCTGCTTGAAAACACATTTTAACAACCTAAATCAGTTGAGGTGATTAATTACTTTAAGCAATAATGTTAACATGGCACACCTTTGCATTAGTTTTTGAATTTACATAAGTTTGATTGCATCATGAATGGCACTGCCTTTATGAGGTCTTAAATGGTTTGCTTCTTCAGATTCCATATTAGAAATCCCTTCAGCTCTTGTTTTTAGTCAAGCAAGCAGCACCTGTAACAATTCAGTTAAACTCCCTAAAGTCGCCATGAAACGGAAATTGCGATTATCTTTTCTTCCCTATCGTGACAAGTTCTCGAATGAGAAAAAAAAATGTAGGGCAGCACTTGATTTTGTCCATCGGGAATTAATTGGATCGTTGTTGTTTGCTAATTGAGCGATCTCATGTGAGTGACAGATTGCTGGATTATTGCCCAGCCGGAGCATAAGGAGGGATGTTATTGGGAGGGGACATTAATATTAGTTTTTTTTTTGTAATCATTATGTGCATGGCTAATTCAATCATAATAAATACTTCAACATACCATAAAAAATAAGAATGGTCTGTTTTGATTTTATGGTGACTTTAAGCTCTTGGATGCTGAGTTCTCACAATAATATAATGATAAAATGCAAACAGGTCACTTTCAAATATAAATCATTTGTAAAATTAAAAAATTTAAAACATTATTTTTCAAAAATGTAATTAAAAAGGTTAATAAAAGTCGATATAAAACAAAATATACAGCTTGCCTGAACGATCTGAAGTTCTTAGCGCTAAAGCACTTATCTCCGCAGAGGCAGTTCATTAGACAGCTCCAACTCAAAACTGTGTTTCAATACAATTATTAAATGCATGCATGTTTCAAATAAGAAATTTTGTTGTCTTTGAAGCTTTTGCACGAAAGATTTGCGTGAGAGTACTGTCTTCTGCTTTTCTATCTATTTCCAGTGTTCAATCTGTTTATGGCACAAAAACAAAAAAAAACCCTGAGGATTCCAGTAAATCATGTAGTCATTCATGTAGTCAGTCAATAATCACTCTGGTTTTGGAACAGCACTACACATTTAAACTGAGGACCGCTTTTGTACATTTATTATGTTTGGCCAGAAACTTTACCAAATGTAGCGCAGGCTGACAGCTTCTAAAGGAACAATGATTTTATTCACTGCCAAATGCATGTACCTCAACTGATTCTAATGATTTTGGGAAAATAGTTCAACAAATATTGATGTTTATATTTTGGAACGAAAATCTATCAAAGATATCGATCAGTTTATATAATTAATTTGGTGTATGCTGTTGTGTGTATATGGCCATAAAGATGAAGCATTATGTAATATGAAGTGCACAATTCCAAAATGTAAATACTTCTGTGTTTTTTATCCATTTCTATATAAGTAAACGTTTGCATTTCTAATTCTGTGCCTGGTCTTATGTACTTTTCTGTATGGGTTTAATCCGATAAATAAACTTTGTGAACGAGTGCTGGATAAGCTTTTCAATGTTTGTGCAGTATGAGCTACTTTGTTAAGTACCGTAAAAGTGGTTTCAGTGTACGCTGGATTGTTATTGTGGAAGAAGCCAGTCCTCAGAAGCAAGCCAAATAAAAACTCTGAATGTAAACTCTTTCTTTTGTCTTGTATTTCTCATTAGTGTAAAATACATCTACAGTCCTGTCACTCCTACCAATTACATTTTAACCTGTGGAAGGATTTTTCTCTGATGAATGAATGAAGTAAATATTTAAAAATCCCTGCTTGAAAACACATTTTAACAACCTAAATCAGTTGAGGTGATTAATTACTTTAAGCAATAATGTTAACATGGCACACCTTTGCATTAGTTTTTGAATTTACATAAGTTTGATTGCATCATGAATGGCACTGCCTTTATGAGGTCTTAAAACTAAAATAGCAGATCAGATTAGTTTTCTGACATAAAGACTAAAGAGAGGCCTGGGGGATTTTAAGATGAATTTGTTTGATTCAAGTTGGAAAAAGCCTGAAAGTAAAGCACTGTTTTTGGTGCAAACCATATGCAGCAACACCTAGATAATACCTTTTATATTGTTAAGCATGGTGGTGGTGGCAGAGCATTTATATTCTAAAATGCAGTACAGTTTTTATTTAACTTTTAGGTACAACACATTTTAATTGAAACATTATTTAAGATTTTTATTTACCTGTTTGTAAGCACTGCAGTGTTAACGTTCAGACTGTGTATTTACAATGTTAAAGTGGCTGATATTCTAAATAGGAATAAAACCACCTCGTTTTTTAATTGTGCAAAGCTGTAGCTGAATAGTTAGGCCTACTACACTACTGTGTTTTAATGTTGGTCATTATGGTGGTACTTGGAGAGCCAAATATTTTCTGAGGTGGTACTTGGTATAAAAAGTTTGAGAACCACTGCACTACACTATATTTAATGAAGACTAATGTTTTAAAAGTCATCAGTAGTAAATGATAAATAGTAAAAAGAAAACATAAAATATTAAAGAAACTGCACAAAAATTAGAAAATATATATATGCCAGAACCAACGACTGCAGCAGAGCCCCACTCATGAAGGGATGAGAGAACACAGTAGCAGCAGGCAGCTGATATGCTGGATAATTCGCGTCTATCGAGCTAATTTATGTGCTCTTACTGAGTAGCTGACTTGCCACAAACTGTAATGAGATTGGTAAATGGAAAAGACAGTTAATTATGGAGGAGAGATTCTTATACCTATAATTTTGCTGTGTGTAATGACATTAACTATATTTAATGAAGACTAATGTTTTAAAAGTCATCAGTAGTAAATGATAAATAGTAAAAAGAAACATAAAATATTAAAGAAACTGCACAAAAATTAGAAAATATATATATGCCAGAACCAACGACTGCAGCAGAGCCCCACTCATGAAGGGATGAGAGAACACAGTAGCAGCAGGCAGCTGATATGCTGGATAATTCGCGTCTATCGAGCTAATTTATGTGCTCTTACTGAGTAGCTGACTTGCCACAAACTGTAATGAGATTGGTAAATGGAAAAGACAGTTAATTATGGAGGAGAGATTCTTATACCTATAATTTTGCTGTGTGTAATGACATTCCCGAATTGCAATTAAATATTTTTTTGGGTAAAACCCATAATTTTGTAGATAAAGATCTTTTTGGAAATAACCTGTCGATATGATTTATTCTTTTGTAGTGGCAACTGGAAATATGTAAAAGCTTAAAGGCATTGGCATTATGCACATTTAACTGCCAAATCAGAAAAAAAACTAATAACAAAAGGTATCAAACATAAGTGTATTTAACAGGAACTTGACTTTTAAGCATTATTCAAACACACATTGTTTTACAGGTTTACATTTTCATTAGAATACCTGAGAGAACTTTCTGTATATATATATATATATATATATCTCAGTTGTATATTTTCCTGACACTTCTCAATTTCAATTAAAAGTGTTACCACAAAAAGATTTGTTTTGAATATAATTTGCTACAATTTTTAACATAAAACTCTTAAAATTGTTAAATATAAATGAATAATCTTGATTCAAAGTTCTTGCGTGTCTCTGCCTTTAACAAGCGTCAGGTGGTAGACATGTTTGCAAAAAATGTATAAATTAGAAATGATATGCCGAAACAGGAGCGTTTTCATCATTGTTTTATTTAGATGTAGCACAGGGTCTTATTTACATAAATACGTTCTGAGGATTCATCTGAGAGTATGATTAGAACTCTAAAGGGTCACAGCACGGGGGGGGGGGTTTACTTTGCTGGTTTATCCCCAGACT